CCCCAAAACCCCAAAACCCCAAAACCCCAAAACCCCAAAACCCCAAGACAGCTAATTCGCATTGAATTTTAAATTATTTTCAGCAATGCAAGACATGAGGTCGCAAGATAGACTAAAGAGCTTTATTAAAGTCTCAAAGAAGGACTATAAATCAGAATGAGAAAAATTTATAGTCAGCTTAAGGAAGACGAGGAAGCAGAAAAAGTTCAACGATAAGAGAAAGATCTACTCCAAGGTATTTGATGTCGATGACAAGACTTCTTCAAAGGCGGGATTAGACAGGATTGAGACGATAGACTCATCTCCATTTTCAACTGATAGCTCAATGGATAAGGAAGATGCATGTGAGACCTTGACAAATATTACATCTGACCTTTGAAAGTCTGTTGATGAACTAGAGATCATTGATTTAGTAGAAAGATTATCCAATTTCTTACTAAGTAGCTGGGAAGCAGACTTTCAAAGGGCACTCCTTACGGAGGGATTGGTTTATAAATATGCCACTTTTTTGAATTTTCAGAATAAAGTACTGAGTAAAGTAATTATCAAATTTCTGGGGAATCTGTTTTATCATGTTGACGAGATAAACCCTTCTATGATAACTTCGATGGTCGAGTCAGGACTTATAGAGATACTTGTTACAAAAACATTGGTCTCCATAAATTCTCTCGATATACCTCATAAGAGTACTTTTGAAGATGGGAAATATGACTTTGGAAGTTTTAACGAAAAGTACATGCCTATTTACAAGTTGCTTATCAATCTTTGAGCGGTAGAACCAAAGCTAGAACAGGAGATACTTGGCTGTGATATTTTGGATAGCATAGTGGTCACATTATCTAATGATTTCATGGAAAATAATGAAGATTTTATAATCTGCGTAGCTCGATTACTCAAAGTACTTCTTCCAAATATTAAGAGCCAACATATCTTGCTAATCTATCAGCTTGGAAGAGTATTATTTCCAATTCTCGAAAAGACAGAAAGTCCAGATCTCCAATTAGAGATATTAAATTGTCTTAATTTTATTTTCCAATATGACGAATCTTCCTGTGAGTATAAATACATCAAGTACATGTGAGGACTTTTGGCCACATCAATGAAGCTCAAGCAAAAGCTATCTAAAGAATTTAATCTCCAATACGAACAACAAATACTCTCCATAATCTGTACTGTGACTTGTTTCGAAAAATGCTCTAAGTTTTCCAAACTGATATTGGAAAGTATTCCTTCTATTCTCAAATTTTTGAGGAATAAACATTCAAATCTAAAGGTAAGTGAATATGAATAAAATGTAGACCAAGCAGCTAGTCTTATCAATTGTTGGCAATCTTTCCCTCTCAGGTACTCTACAGTATTAACATTTTAGGCGATTTATATCAGGACCCGCAAATATTTACTCAGAGTATAAATAAGGTGGTTCTCGAGATGTTATTCCAACATCGTGAACAATCAAAAGATAATTCAGAGGAAGATATTTCTTTTGATTATAAGCTGTCAGTATTGGAATGAGTGAAGACAATGCTGGTGAAAGTTCCTTATCAGCTTCAGTGCGATACGATAGGTAGGGGCTTAAGAGATAATTTGTTTTAGAAGATGGAATATTGGAGGTAATGAACAACTTCATCAACCCCAACAACGAACCTCCCGAAGTCAACAAGGAATACTTGGTGATACTCTTCAATATCCTGGCATGAGAAAATAAGAACCAAGGTAGTGTATTTTGCAAAGAACGGATTATTGAAAGTGATTGAATTTCTTTTATTGAAGAGCTATGCTCATATCCAGACACCACTATTTCTACCCTAGCTGGATGAATCAGCGACCATTTGGAAAATAGTGAATATTGAAAAATTGTATAATTGGTTTAAAGGTTAGCAATAGATTTCAATACTCTGACTAATTATTGGGGTTTTGGGGTTTTGGGGTTTTGGGGTTTTGGGGTTTTGGGG